AAATTATTGATCGTCGCTCTTAGCCAATCAAAATCGAGGAATTCCGTGAAATTTTGGTGCGGCAGCTAGGTTCAATATGTGATACTGAGATGGATGATGCTGAAATTTGGTGTCTTGATTTGAAATATAAACTCTTCTAAAATCCACATATATCCTTTATTATGAATTCTAACTCCTAACTTAATTCTAAACAAATAAGTTCAAATTTCAGCATCATCTCGACAATATGTGTTAAATAAATTACAAATTTTATTCATGCTACTATAGGCTATTTAGTTCAACCAATCGGATCTCATAAAGGGTACCTCCCGAAATATTCCGATATTATTCTATTTCTGAATTAGATTCAAGTAATCTTGTCTTTACCGTGCTATTTTGACTAATAAGCATTAATTTTCTAAAAAATACTTTCATTAAAACGATTAAAATAAATATTAAAATAAATTATTATTATTATTAAAAAAAAACAAAAATCAAGTTTTTAAAAAATTTGGGTCAGTGGGCAATGCAAAACGAAAAATTAACTTTGTGGCCATATCAACCAAGTTGCCAATCTGCTCTCAAGACAAGCTTACAAGTAAACTGCTTAATGTTAAAATCTTTCTAAACCAATCAATTAATTCATCATTTATTTCACCTGCAAGATTGTTAAATATTTATGGTAAATACTGTAGTTTACAATAATATGTTCAATTTTAATCGATAAAAGTTTTTACTTTTTTGATTTATTTAGATTCTACTACACTCGATTGCCGATTTCTGATGATTCTTGTATTTAATAATATATAGCTATTGGGTGTGAAGCAGCCAATAACTATATATTACTAATCTATAATGATAATTTTAATTGATCTATTTAAGCACTTTGTCTCAACAGCCAATGAAGTATCATGAACAACGAATTTTATTTAAATTATTTATTGTTCAATTGTTCGGTAATATTTTAAAGTCTTATCGATTTATGCAAAAGTGACAAAAGTTGAGTTAGAGCTAGCAGATTTCAATTGAGTTCATGATTACGCTATTTGGATCAAAGAACTAAATTTTTTCAAAATTTTATGTAAGGCTGATTTCTTTGTTTCATAATATTATAAAGATAGAAAATCAAGTAAATAAAAATAAATTCTTATCGCCTATAATCATCCGATTCGCTCTCTCACTTCCCGCAATCCGTTCAACTCGATACTGATCAAACTTTGAAAATATAACATTACACGATAAATTAGATCCCGAATCTACCTCGTCTTTCGTGGGTGTTAAAAAATTCACAATTTCAGGATAGAATTGAGGGTGATCAGGTAATGCGTAGAATATTATGTGGAGTGTACCCCGAATTCGGTATCTATTATTTGTTTGTAATAATGAGATGATAGGTCGATTGCATAATTAAATTATTAGACTACTGTCTCATTTGAAATTCATCAACAGTCACCTTCTAAAGAAATGAAATCGTTCAGTATATAACATGATGTTTCGTTTTCCATTAAGAAAATGCGCTCGTGCTCTAGTCACATCCGATGCTGAAGTATATCTAATGTAGTAAATTCAAATTATTGTCATTGCTTGCTTACTAAATCTACGACTCCACATAAGGTTTAAACATACTCGCATATGCTGGTAAAATTATAATCATTATCTTCAAAATAATTTCTTAATCGTATAAAATCAAAATATGATGGAATAAATATTAATGTATGTGGTAATTTTGGATTCGATTTTTGAAGAGTAGGAAGTAACTAAAGAGTAATAAATAATAGTGTTAAATAATTCATTTATGATATAGTTACTTAGATATAAGCAATGATTACTAGGGACATTAACTAGTTCGTTGAAATCCTGATTTAGTTCATCAAGTTCAGTCCGACCTAAGTCTGGCTTAGACTAAATTCTCGAAGTTCAATTTTTAATTCAGCTCAAGATAAACTGATCTAGTGGTGCTGGTGGAACTCAACTACAGTCAGACCTTTCCAAGTGCACCCTCTATAAGTGTACACCCTCTCTAAATGCATGCCCAAATTCTGGCACAAATATATACTTGATCTCTATAAATGCACTTTTCTTATTGTTCTCTAAATGCACATTGCTGAAGCGTGGTCCCAAGAGCGTGTACTTAGAGAGGTCTGACTGTACAAAATTTCCTAGGTGCTATCTAAAATCTGATTGGCTGTTCTATTTAATATCACCAGTTTTTATGGTGCACCAAGTCACTTCTCATCAAAAGGCGCCAAAGTTTTGAACATATTTATAATATACCAGCCAATCATAATTATTTATTTAACTATTTTTGTTTGGATAAAAAAAATTATTTATTTTTTTTTTTATAGTAATTGAATTTATAAGTATTTTAAAAAAAAACTTAGCAAATTTGATGAGAAGTAACTTGGAGCACCATAGCAAGTAGTAAATAGATTTACTTAAACTACTTAACGTCCCTAATGATAGTAAAGTGTGGTTAATTAATAATACCTTTTCAATAAAATATTTGAATCGAATATCATCTGCTTCAATTAATGATGGACATTCTATCCGAGTAAAAACCTAGGCATAATATGAATTATATTTCAATAATAAATTTAGTAATATAGTGCAAGTAAATCAAGCAAATTTTGTATAATAAATTGTTTTTTAAACTTTAAATAAAAATAATTTAACAAAAACTTGATCAAATTTAATAAAAAATTTTTTTTATAAAATTTAAGTTTTTGTTAAATTATTTAATTTAAAGTTTTAAAAATTACTAAAAAAAATTTGCTTTGTTTCTATTGATTTACCCCATATAATAATATGAGAAGAATTTACCTGCTTAACCTGAGGAATCACATTTACGATGGTACCCTCATAATAATCTTTGGTTTTTAATTTTCCATCGATATTAAACATTTTCTTATTGAACAATGAATTAATTTCCGGTGTTAAATACTCGGAAATAATAATAGTCTGGCGAAAGTATTTAGCTCTATGTAGAATTTATAAATATTATAACATTATTTTAATTAAAAAGATAAATGTACATTATCTACATGTACTAACTTGCCGTCAAGATACCAATTCTTTACACGTGAAAAGTCACAGTTGTGAGATTTTTTGGGAATTAAATTCAGATGATTAAATATATACTAAATAGGCAAGGACATAATATAATTGAGTAAACACACTTATAGTTAGCATGCTAGATTTATACAAAATTCTACCTCAATATGATCCCAATTTTGCATGAGAAATGTTTCACATTGATCAATTATCAATATCTCAATAGAAGAAAGAAAGTCGAAATCGTGTTTTTTGTCTCTAGAATTAATTACATAATTTTGAATAATGCGTAAATATATAGATATTGGACTTAATATAATAAATTTTAAAAGAATTTACCCTTCAGTTCCAATGACCATCCGTAATCCTAATGGAGAGGCAAGAATAATGTCTGCGTTGTAAAATTCGGCATAAAATTTTATCGACTTCCGTGTGAACTTAATACCAATCCGAAACATATCATCAATGTTGCCCTTGAAAGTTTCTAAAAAGTCCACTATAACATATGGATTTAAACTCTAGTTTTTAAATTATATTCACTATAAGATCTTTAATATTAGATATATATTCAACCTGGCTTGCTTGAGTTAATTTTTTCTTCATCTGGGGAAATACCGTAAGAATCGAAAAATCGTTTGCGATTCTCCTTTATTATTAAACATAAATAATATAAATATATCAATTACTTCATACATTTCATCCAATTTCGTCTCAGGACGTACTTGTTGTTCA